TTTTAATAAAAAATATCTAAAATAAAATATTTTTTAATATAAAAATATTCTTTCAATAACCTTTCTATTAAATGTTTTTTTTAATATTTTTTGAGTGCGCAAAATTAAATAATTTTGTTTTCCTAAGGGATTAGAATAACATCAAGAAAATAATATTTTTTTTAAAAACTGTTATTACTCATTAATTTTTTTAAAGAATATTTCTGAATTAAGTAGATGAATATATTTATATATATTTTTATATATTACCTATTTAATATTTTTATCCTTAAAAAAGATAAACGTACTTGTAGTTTAAATATAGAATAGTAAAAAAAGATTAATTCTAATTTTAAAAATATTATTTAAAAATTGATAAATGACATAAGAATTTTTTTGTTTAATTTAAAGAAAAAATAATTAAGAAAGATAAAAGTAGTCTAACAATGAGATGAGGAATTTGTTAGCCTATTACTTTGTCTCCATTAACAAATTTTTAAAATTCTGAATTTTTGAACTGTGGTACTTTTTGAACCACAGCATCTTAAAGAAAATTTTAGTACAGCTAGTAACAAGACAGCCTACGTCTTTATTTTAAAAACCACACTAACAAAGCGTGGATTCATATTCTTTTTTATATGTATGTGTTGAAAATTAACGTTAATGTATGAAATTAAATCAAAATAATTTTTATAACGTCGAAAAATTAAAATAAAAAATTTAAAAAAAAGATTAAAATTGAAACAAATATTTATGTAAATCTACTAAAATCAAAAGTCAAAAGATTTAAAATTTATATAAAGATATTTAGGCAAAACAAAAATATACATATTTAAGATTATTTTATTAAAAGAATATTAAATATGTATTTTATCAAAACAAGTAGGAATATTTTTGTTTTTGTTGAATTCGACATTAAAATTTAATAAATTAAAATATTAAATATATTTTTCAATAAATTATTATATTCCCTCAAATAATGAATATTATTAAAAAATAAATCCTTAAAAAATTGAAAAATATTTTTATTTTTTATAAAGAAATTTATAATGTTGCTCTTTTCAATAAAATTAATAGGAAAAAAATAAAAGAAATAAATCTTTAATTTTTAATTAAAAATTAATTAAAATTTAATTTTAGAGAATAATTTTAATTTTCTAAATTTGGCTAGAATTTTAGCTACCTAATTTAAGTAAGAGAATTCCAAAAATGAACTAAAATTAGGGAGAGACATAAAAGGGAGTAAAAATAGAGGAAGATGATTCTTCTTATTTTTTCACTCCTTTCTCCTTAAAAAACATTTCCGGAAAAATGTTCGTGTCATTCCCTAATATATATATATATTGCTTTTTTAATATATCTTACTATTTATGTAATAAATATGTTCCCAAAAATAGATATAAATATATTTATTTATTAAATAAATAATAATATTTTCATCAATGTACTTGAAAGTTAAGAAAGAAAAATCTTTTAAAGATGTCTATAAAATTTTAGAAAATAATAAAAAATAATATTCTTTAATCAAAAAATTTCAAAAAGGTAGGCTAACTAGAGTGTAGTGATGGATGAGACTCTCGGTCTCGGTTCTCAAGTCGGGAAATTTCTCGTTTTTTTGAGCTCTCGGTCTCTGTCTCGACTCTCGACTTTTTTTAACTCTCGACCATCACCACTAGAGTGTGGTTTAACAAATTATTTACAACAAAAGAGGTTAGTTATATATTTGTTATTAATTGGATATTTTTAATAAAATATTAAAAACATATTGGATATTACATAAGTTTAGAGAAGTAATATTTTCAAAAATTACGATTCTACATAAGTATTTTTGACTCGTTTGCTACATATATGGACAGAAAGAAACGAATTCAGAATTATCTCTATTAATTAAATGTTTATCGTTTCTTAATCATTTTACTTGTAAGATAATTTAAAAATAAATTATTTGATATATTCATCAAATTACAAAAAAAAAGTTTAAAAAAGTTCCCGACTATTCCAATTATAATATTTACTGATGGATATGCTGACTATATTTTTTCTAGTTTTTTTTCAGCAAAAAGTTGTCTCTTTCGCTTATTGAATATTTCCTAGAATTAAATAAATAAAAATATACACACATTTTTGTCCTAAGAGATAAATTAACCAAAAAATTGGCATAATTTATTTAAAATAAAAATATATATAATAATTTACAAAAAAAGAAAGAAAGTTTTTTTCGAAATAATTATAATCTGGAAAATTTATTTATGGAAAGTTTCTAAATTAATTTACAGTCGATTCCCTTCGATATATAATTATCTACACAAATAAAGATCCCTTTTCCTTTAACAAGCTCTAGACTAACTTGAAGCGACTTTCTACTATTAATAAATTTATATGAAAAAAGGTATCAAATTCTAACTTGCAGAAAATTTTATTAAAAAAATATTTCCTTATTAAATAATTAATTTCTGAGTTAAATATTGTTTGGTTTGTTATTTTATTTTTAGTAGAAAAATATAAATAGACATGTTTGTCAAGCATTTGTTTTCAAATGCACTTGACATATAAATAAATTGAAAATATAAATATGTTTATATTATGAATAAATTATTTAAATATTTTGTGCAAGCAAACTTAATGATAAACAACAAAAAAAGAATATTTTTTTAATTTGTTCTGGTATGGTAACTTAAGAGAAAAAAATAAGGTGAAATTAAGCCTGTATATTTTGATTTACAGACAAAAATAAATCGGAAATTCGACTTCAAAATTATCCACGGATTTTTCCACCCTTTGAACGATTTTTAATTCGCGCACTTCCTATATCCTTTTGTCAAAATAGGAAAATTAAAGGTATAACGCTAACAATTCGTATTCAATTGTTTTTTGATATTTATTTCCTTCTTTTTAAAAAATATCTGTTAAAAATAAATAACCGTAAATATTTAATTATTTAAATATAAAATAATTTTTAGTCTTTAAATTAATTTAAAAAACATCTACCTATTTAAATATCTCCTCCCACGCAAGCAAAAGCCTAAAAGAAATTTAATTAAACTTTTTTACACTTTTTAAACAAAAGGTAGATGCTAAAATAAGAGAAAAATGTGCAAAATAAACGAACTGAAAATAATTAGGTTTTAAAGATTTTTCACATTCAAATTTTTTTACACTGCTAAAAAATAAATAAAAATTCCGTGTAATTTTTAAATTTAGAATGAGAAAATTTTAGACCTGGTTTAGAACATGCCAGTATAATTAGATCTCATAAAAATGTTTATTTAATTCTCCGGGTCTATAATGCTTGCTTTATGTTCTGCAGCATTTTTTGGTGTTGGTGTTCAGGACCAATGGGTCTGGGAGAAGCAGGATCATATTAATAATATAAAGATTAAAATGAAGATATGAGATTTATAGTTACAGTTAGTTTTTTTATTTTTAGTTTTTCTCACTGGAACAAACAAAGGATTATGAGCCAAGTTCTATGTACAATTTTGAATTGTTTATCGAAAATTGTTCATCAAATGAGCATGTCAAATCAAATGACAAGGTCATCATTGTAAAACGGCACTACAAGGAAACCACGTGGTTTACTACCGTAATGTTATTTAACCATAAGACAGCTCATGATACCGTTGATTTTTAATTCAAGAATTTGTGGAATTTTGGTCACTAGCGGAGTTTCCGGTCACCTAATTACATTACCTATTCACTTCAGAAACAATAGTTACTGCCATTCCCTAAACAAGGGACAATTTCAAGTGATGTAAAATAAATTAAAATAAATTAGAAATAGTTGCATATTTCAAAAATTATTTTTACAAATATTAACAGTAAAATGTTATTATTCGCATTTTTTAAAACCAAACATTTTTACTTCAAATAAAGCTAAATTCTTTTCAGATTTTTAGATTCAAAATCTAACAAAGATTTATGTAATAGTATAAAATTATTTTATGTAAATGTTTAATATTAAAGGCTTTTTTATTCCTTTACTAATCGCAAAAAAGCTTCTTGTCAGCTTGTGATCCACATATAAAATATTTTAGTGGACTAAGGAAATGTAAACCCCTCACCACGTGGTTTTAGTTTTGTTATTATTTACGTATTTATATGCAGGAATTATTTTATAAAAGATTATTTTACATACTCTCATTTATTTAAAAACTATTAGAAACACGCATATTTCATTAAGTTTTTTAAAGGAAAAAAATTTTTTTTTTTAATTTGAAATTAATTAAAATAAAATTTTTGCATATTTTTTTAAAAACTTTTTTTAAATTCAACTAATAAATTGTCTAATTTACTTCAATTATATTTAATTAATAAAAAAATTATTTTGACTTTAAATTAAACACTTTAAATCTTTAAAAGTATATAAGGAATGCACTTAAGCAAATTACTGAAAGGATGAGTGTAGAAAATAATATGTGGAGGTTTACATTTATTTATAAAAACCGGAAATGTTCCCCCACATTTACTACTTATAGAATATTTATTAAATAGAAATTTTGTCTTAAAAGGGTCTGAAACTGACAAGTTTTTCTAATGCAAAATTTGTAAATAAATAATGATGTAAGGCAAGTTAATTTTGCAAACAAGTCTATATTCAAAATGTTTTCAAAAAATAAGTTTGAAAAAAGATTGAAATTTTTTTAAAATTAATTTATAATTTTGGTGTGTGAATTTAGGCCACCAAACAGTAGATCAAAAATAACCATAATAAAGTTAACGTCACCTAAATACATATAAGAAACTTCATCCCCCTAATTATAGTACATATGTATTTATTTGTTTATTGGACAACTTATGTGGAAGACTGGGGGAGAATTAAAATAAACAATGCCAAAATGTTGACATAATTAGGGATGCAACAATTCCCTATTTAATCAGGAAATATCATCAAAAATCGGGAGCCGAAAAAAGCCAAAATAAAAAAGATCAAATTTATTTAATAGACGAATTAAACTAAAAAATAATTGGTGCAGAATTATATAAAGGATATTTATCATCGCAACTTTTTGGTGGTTAACAAGTTAGAATGTAAGAGAGATTTGATCAAGAAATTCATCAAATTTCTTCATTGTTTCACTTTCTAAATCTTTCATCGTTTCCAAAAGAGCAACTTTTAAACGGCCTGTAAAAATATATTAAATAAATTGAACAAATTTAATTTTTAACCTTCCAAAGTTTTGTCCTTTTCAACAAGTTTTTGAGTAACAAATCCAAAAGTTTCACAATCATTTCGATAACTCTTAAATTATTTTTAAATAAATTATTTTTAATTAAGTATTCTTCATTAACTTGTTCAAATTCTCGTTTTTTCTTTGCCACACATTCTCGTAACTCTACAGATAATTTGTTAATTTTCTCTTCACGAATATTGTCAGAAATTTGCTGTTTGGACAAAGAACCTTTTATTTAATTTTATAATTATTTTAATTCATTTATTTAAAATATACTTAAATGAAATCCTCCTTGATTTTCATCAACATTAGCATTTGTTGACATTTTGAATTTTATATCTTTCAGAATTTGGCGCTGAAAAATAAATTGATATATAATAAAATCTACGTCTTAATAAAAGAGAAAATATTTTGGAATTAATGACAACCTCACTAGAGGTGTAACCCGCCAAATTTTAGTTCAAATTATTATGATTTACCTGTATGTCTTTGAAGAAATTATTTGCCATGGCGCCACTCTCACGTACAGGAGAAGACATAATTTGATCAGAATAAGCAGACGCTTTAACACTACGAACAACAGGAGGTTGTTGCAACGATTCGAGCTCAACACGTGGACGTTTCGCGGCTACGTCATCTAAAATTTTTAAAAGGAGTTAATGAGCAAAAGTTCTTTCAAACGAATATTTACTTTCAAAAATGAATTAGGTAGGTATACACTTTTCAACAGCCATACTTTAAACTGTTAAAATATGGTTCTCAATCGATAGGCAATTTATTTTTGGAAGCAAAATTCGAATTAACCCACCTTTAGCAGCCTTGGTACCATTCATCGGTTGATAGACTATGCCAGGTTGTTCTGACTTAAACTTTGGAATGGAAGCATTCTATTGTAAAAAAGACAATTTATGCTAAAACATCAATTTCATACCGAATCAAGATCCACAGTAAAAGTCTGTCGAAATTTGTTATCCTCTGATTGTTTACTCTTAAATTGAAATGAATTGAAAAAATGAAAGGGTAAAAAAGCTAAAAATTATTAAAAACAAAGTTTTCACTTGAGTGGACAAAACTTCATGCTGAACATTATGACCAGAATGTTTTTGTTGTGATTGTTGTTGATTAGTAGCGAGAGAGCCTACAACTACACGGCGATGTGTAAACTTAAGAATTTAAATAAAATTATGAATTCAACGAGGGAATAAAATCATTCTTATTAAAGCTCTCTAGCAACAAATCAACCAATCAAAATTAAAATAATGGGTCTCTTAAGGGTTTTAAAAACCGACCTGCGCATCTGGACGTGTTGGCCCAATTGGTTTACTCATTGTTATAGTCATTTGAGGTTGTCCTTGATTGGCATTTGCATATTTTGATGGAGGTGAAGACTCTCCATCACTTACATCAATATCAGAACCTTCAGTTCTCTGAGTTTTTGCCGTATGAATATTCGGCGAAGAAGAATAATGTTTGCGTTTCTTCTTCTCTTTTCGCTCTTTTTTCTTGCTCTTCTGTTTCTTAGGTGGTGGTGAAGGAGAACGTTCCTTCTTCTAAAATAAAAATTTAAAATTAAAAAATAAGCATTATTCACTACGATATCAGAATAATCCAAAGATTTTGGTTCGGAATGTTGTGATGACTGGGACGACACTGATTTACTTCGAGAACGCGAATCCGCATCAGAATGTGTAAGACTACGATGCGAAGGAGAACCAGACACAGATCGACTCACGGATTTGTTACCACCACTATATTCTTCTGTTGGACCACGCTCAGGAGAACGAGTATAAGATCTAAAAAGAGTGAGAATAATTTAAACATTATGAAAACCTCGACCGACGCCCACTGCCGCGATGTCCTGAACTACCATGGTTATTAAAGCGAGAAGGTCTAACTCCTTAAACAATGAAATATTACAAGAAAATAAGCGAATACAGACCTTGTTTGGCACAATGAGCTAAATAGCGACGAATATCCCGGAACCAAGTCAGTTCTACTTCGTGACCAAGAATGGTGCCTTCTTTTTGACATCTAAAATTTTTAATTACATAAGCTTAAAGAAAAAACCTACTTTTCCATAATTTTACGAGCCACAGTCTTGCTTTCAAAGCGTACAGCAACATAAAGCTTCAATCTATCAGGTGATACTTTGACAAAATCAAAAGTGCATCCAGTATCCTTTCCAAAGAAATCACTAAAAAAGAGAAATATATTTACTGCCCTCAACAATTCAAAATCAAAATTTCTCGTCGTCAATCTCTTCTTGGCCACTTACCACGCTCAAGTAATAAGCGCCAATTAAATATAATTAATCATTCCATCAATTAATATTTTCTTCAAAATTATGGTAAATATAATTATAAAAATGGTAATTTCTCAAAATATAGTTTTCGAAATAAAATCCAATTTTGACCAGATATGCACGGAGAACTATAAAATTCCCTCTAAAATCGTGTAAAACATTCAAGTGCATTGTAAATTGGCTTGGTAATTGGGTAATTTGTAAAATACTTTCAAATTATATGACGTAAAAGAATAACAAATAAATAAATAGTTGACTTGATAAAAGGAATAAATTGGCCCAAAAAATATTTTTAAAATGATTTAAGGAACTGAAAGCCGTTAATTTAATGAGTGCATTTGTCTCGTAAATTTAAATTAGTGCAGTATTCATCAAAAAGCACAAATATATTTTTATTGAAATTTTGTAGAGCCTAAAGCTGAGATTATCAAAAAATTCATTGAATTTTTATAGGCGTAGAAACAGTTTGGATCGATAATCAGTACATTTATATTAAAATTTAAAGGTGCTACATACGCCTATTTATAGAAAAACAACAACAAAAAAAAAGAAAGGAAGATGTATAAAATTAAAATTCTAAACAAACTAACCGAAGCTCCTCAGTTGTCAATTGTCCAGGCAAACCACGAATGAAAATTGTATGCTGTAAATTATTAAAAGTTGGAATGAAAGGAAACAATGGATAAAAAACCTGGCTTTCGGGAACATCCCGTTCATTTATTCTATCACGACGATACATCTAAAAAGTTGTTGAAGTTGATATTTATTGAAGACTTTCACAAACCTGACCAATTTAATTTGTTTTCAAATTCAAAATAAACAGTAAACTATAGATGCAAATAAAATAATAATTGAATAATTTCAAGTAAACTTGTCTAAAAAATATCAGAATAGTAAATTTCAGAGCCCAAATAGTGTTAAAAAGCTAATAAAACCCTTGTTTTGGACATCATTCTTTTTATATTTAATTGGCATTATTTGTAAAAAGTTAGTAGAAACTTGATAACTGACTATGATACACATACACAAAACACGAATAATACAAAAAACTCGAAGTTGTAAACAAGTACGTGACCTTCAACTTTTCCAAAAAAGTGACGAATTAAAAATAAAAATCAATAAATTGCACCAGACATTTAATCCGTTTGATTGCCAACATTTTTATCGCCAAACCGTTTCATTGTTTTTTGCGGTTAAGGATGATTCAGTATCGCCGATTCAGTATCCGCCGATTCAGTATATGGCCATAACTTTCCTGATATTCGACCGATTTGAATAATTCTCATATCATTCGAAAGGTCTCAAGATTCGACATCTTTTTCATAATTGGCCCGATCTGATCTGATGATCACAAAAAAAGTTACAGCGTGAAAACCGATTCTTTATGCCTGTGACGTCGTTTATCAGTGATATCTTTTTGTAGAGTGATAAGATCAGGTCAGTCCAATTATGAAAAAGATGCAGCACCCCGAGGCCTATTAAATCATATATAATAATTCCCACAATATTGATCGAGCAAAAAGTTATGGCCAAAAAGCCAAATACTGAATCGGCCAATACTGAATCGGCGATACTGAATTGGCGATACTGAATCGGCGATACTGAATCGTCCCCTACCCGTTTTTGGGACTTGCCAAAACAACGCACGGCCATAACAACTCAAAGCCATAACTTGCTTCAAAATTTCCAAATCTTAACAACTTTAGTATTAAACGATTCCTCTCATCGAGCTAAAGAGATTTGTACCAAAATTGATAAGGGCAAGAAATTTACCGGCTAGTATTGGTTTTGCGTTGTTATGGCCGCGCGTTGTTTTGGCTGTACCCGTTTTTCCCTGTTAATTTTTTTCTTAATTTTGTTTAAGATGCCGAAAGCAAGTAAAAGGAAATTTAATCCAGCTGTCAGAAATGTTCCAACTTTTAAAAAGAAAAAAATTAAAGTTGGTCGGCATTTGCCTCATTTAAATTCAACAAACACCGAAATTAAAGCTAAAAAAATTATTCTTACTGAACAAAATGTTGTTAATGAATTAAATACTTCTGTTTATGACAAAAATGATGGAAAACCTCAAATAAAATCTATTGATGTTATTATTTCTCAACTTTCACATCACAATGAAAATATGAGTAGAACAGCTATTTGTGGTATTTTTTTAGAAATTAATTTTAGAAAAAAAGATTTAAGGTGTTCGAAATTATTTTAAAAACAATTTGAACGAATTGCTCCGTCATTTACATAAAATTATTGTTAGAATTGGTCCATTAATGTTAAAAGAAGTAATTTAATTTTTAAATTATACGACCGCAAACTTAACGCCATCCGTTTTTGAACGGCTTTCGAATGCCGTTCAAAAAATTAATGAAGTTTGATCCAATAGTACAAATTAATTTTATACCATTCGAAAGCCTAATTGGATAGATCAAGTCTGATCACTCATTAAAAAGTTATACCCTGTAAGTTAACTGATAATTTATTTGGTGTTTTTCACATTTATTGAGATAACTTTTTAATTGGTGATCAGACCTGATCCATCAAATAGAAAAAATAGAGCTTATCTAGGGCTTTCGAATGATATAAAATTCTTTTGTGTTTGATCAAGCAACAGAAAGTTAACGGAAAGTACCTAATTTAATTTTTAAATTTATTTTTGTAGCTTAATCAAAAAAGTACAAAAATCGAATTTAACTGCTTAATTGATCAAATTTGTTCTCTTCCTTCAGATGTTTTAAATTCTCACTTTCAACTTTTTTCTGCTTATGTTCTTACAGCTATTTTGGATGCTAGAAAAAATATTCGACAAATGGCTTTTAATATTTTAATTTTACTTTTTAAAAGATATCCAAAATTGTGTTATCAAAAGGAGGAAATTTTTGAAAAATTTTTGTTGGTTTTGGATGGACCTAGAAGGCCAACTGATGACAGGTTTTGTTAGTTTTATTAAATTTAAAATTTTTATTATCAAAAACACATTACCCAAACTTTCAAAAATATTTTAATTGTTTTGATATTTTTAAAGGAAAGAACTTTTGGATGCCATTTATTTATTTCTTGGGACATTCTCCACTTTCTCTGAAAATTCTTTAATTTGGCCTGAACGCGAATTAAAAATTAATTTTTCTTGCAAAGAACAAACAAATTCAACTGTTAGATTGTTACCAAATCCAAATTGTTTTGATTTTCCTGTTTTATATAACAGTTAGTTTTTTTTAATAATTTTTAATCTTTGACTCGAAAACATTTTTGGATTAAATTTATGTAAGGTGATGGGTCTTTCCAGGCCCGTAACCAGGATTTTTTGGGGCGAAAATTTTGAGAATTTTAGAAGGTCGTAGACCAAAAAATTCACTTTTTTGCCTAATCCCCTTCCATAAATTTTTCCCATTTCTCCATTTCTGGGGGTGGGCTCTCCTTACTCCCCCCTGTTACGAGTCTGGGTCTCAAATATCTCTCAAAATTTAAAATTATTTTTTTCAAACTAGAAACTGATACAAAAACATTTTTCTTGCAAAAATCTGATTCACTTCTCAATTGTTGTAAAATTATTTGTCCACTTCTTTTGTCTATAATTTATGAAATGGAATGTGAATCTGACAAAGTAGTTAATCCAATAATGTCAAGGTTTTTAAAAAAAATATTTTTTAATTTTTTTAAAAATTTTTCCAGAATTAATTTAATTTTAAATAAATTAATTGATATTGTTAGTATTTTTATTGAAAATAATCAAAAAGAAAATAATATTAGAGATGAATTAAGAAATATATTTGCTCCTTTGAAGAAATGTTCTTTTATTATTAAGAGCAAAAAATTGTTGAAAAGATTGGATTTGATATTGAAAATTTAAAATATTTGTTTTTTGGTTAAATATAATTTATTAAAAATTTTTACAATTTTTTTTATTTTATTAATTAATTACATATTATTATATTTTCTGAATTTTTTTAAAATTTATTTTAAAAATTTCGCTTAGGCCATTTGTCTAACTTATAAATTTCCTTTTTTGTCTAGCCTTTTTTGTTTGTGAAATATTTCTTTTCTGGTTATACAATTAAATTTAATAAAAATTAAAAATTAATTTTTAGATGCGTCGTCGTATAGCAGAAAATTCAAATGCTGAGAATGAACGTAAAATTCGTGAACAACTTTTTCGACGAACATTTGCAGCTTCTGCGCGTCGTGGCGGTTATGATCGTCGGTCAGATGCATTAAAACAACAAAGTGAGAAGACAACAGAAATGCTTAGTAATTTGGTTTCGAAAATGAGTGAACAGGTGAAAGATTTGTTAAAAATTAAATTTTTGGTGGAGACCTAAGGATTGGACACCACAACTTACCACAAGCCTAATTTACCGCGGAGCTATAACTTCGTTCAGAATTGTTGAATCCGGGACGCCCTTACATGATTCGATTCATCTCGTCGATGCGCATCGAACCATCCCAGGGCATCACGGATTCGACAATTCTGAACGAAGTTATAGCTCTGCGGTAAGTTGGCCTGCTCCTCCTAAAGATATTTTCTTTATTCTATCATTTTTTTATTCTAATTTTTAAAGGTTGAACAATCTGAACAAAGCACAGGTGCATTAATTCATTCCTCGTCAGTATTACGCGATTCTCACTCCAATTTTGACGCTGTTTCTTCAACAATTAAAAGTGGAGGAAAATTAATTTCAAAATATGGAAGACGTGAATGTACAGATAAAATACTTATTGTGCTTGCATTACTTTTATATTTTGGTGTTTGCCTTTATATTCTAAGAAAGCGTATCCCATGGCTAAG